ATACGGGGCCTGGAAGAACGGGCGCTGGACGGGGCTGGTGGGTGACCTGCTCAGCGGCACGGCCCACATGGCCGTCACCTCCTTCAGCATCAACTCGGCACGCAGCAAAGTCATCGACTTCACCAGCCCCTTCTTCTCCACCAGCCTGGGCATCCTGGTGAGGACCAAGGACACGGCCTCGCCCATCGGGGCCTTCATGTGGCCCCTGCACTGGACCATGTGGGTGGGCATCTTCGTGGCACTGCATATGACTGCACTCTTCCTCACCCTGTACGAGTGGAAGAGCCCCTACGGCATGACCCCCCACGGCCGCAACCGCATGAAGATCTTCTCCTACTCCTCAGCCCTCAACCTCTGCTACGCCATCCTCTTTGGGCGCACTGTGTCCAGCAAGACGCCCAAGTGCTGCACCGGTCGCTTCCTCATGAACCTCTGGGCCATCTTCTGTCTCCTGGTGCTCTCCAGCTACACGGCCAACCTGGCGGCCGTCATGGTGGGAGACAAGACCTTCGAGGAGCTCTCGGGCATCCACGACCCAAAGGTAAAGAGGGTTGGAACTGCTGCTGGTGGGGTGAGAGGGGGCTGAGGTCCAGGGCAAGGGGGCGGAGGGGGAATCCTGTCCTTCCTGCTGGGATGAAAGGTGTGCTCCTGCAGCACAGCCCCTCCTGAGGCCGTGGGGGTCTTCCTAGGCTGTACCCCCACCCCTGGGTGGTGGGTGCTGATGCTCCGGTGCCTCTTTCCAGCTGCACCACCCCTCGCAGGGCTTCCGCTTTGGCACTGTGTGGGAAAGCAGCGCCGAGGAGTACATCAATAAGAGCTTCCCCGAGATGCACGAGCACATGCGGCGCTACAACGTCCCCACCACCCCAGCCGGCGTCACCAGGCTCAAGTGAGGGGCGGGCAGGGCGAGGGAGGGGTCCCCTCCTTTTACCACACCCCGGCCCAGGGATGGGGGTCAGGAGGGACCAGGGGAAGGGTGAAGCAGCTCCCACCCTGAGGCTGCCCCTGCGTTGCTGCAGGACAGAGCCCCCCAAGCTCAACGCCTTCATAATGGACAAATCGCTGCTGGACTACGAGGTCTCCATCGACTCTGACTGCAAACTGCTCACCGTGGGCAAGCCCTTTGCCATTGAAGGTTGGGGGGGGGTCTGCAGTGGGGGAGAGGGGGGAATGGGGCACACATGGCTCTAAAACTCTGAGTGTATGTGTACATGTATGTATGTGTGTGTGTGCGCTGTGGCTGGGATGGGGCCATGCGGGGAGGGTGATGGGTGCTGGGGTCTGTTCCCCGTCCCATCCCAGCGCTGCCCCTCTCTCCCCTCCCTGCTGGGACCAGGCTACGGCATTGGCCTCCCCCAGAACTCGCCGCTCACCTCCAACATCTCCGAGTTCATCAGCCGCTACAAATCCGCCGGCTT